TTTGACACGATATCACACTTACAGCCGCCACTGCCAGCCAAGCAGCGAAGCCAGCGAGGAGCCCGGACAAATTGTCACCGCCCCGGATTAAAACATGAAGGCATCAAAAACCGTCCGCGCAAGACGCGCCCCGCTGCCGCCGCCCTCTCGCTCGCCGCTCAAACTTTCGGGGCGGCGCGAAAAAGTGCCTGCTTTTAAAATATTCCCTCGCCAAAGTAAATTTTGATTGACACCCGATAATCCCCTCCGCCAAGTGACGACGTCGCCGTGGCACCGTGCTCTGACGAGCCGCGCCACAATTAAATATGGAGGAAGGGCCGCCGTGGCCGCCGTGGATTAGCGGTTCGGCCCGCTGCTTGCCGCGCTTCTCCGGTCCAGCACCACTAGAAGAGCACCTCCGAGGACGAGACTAGCGGTGGATGTCGACAACAACTGCTCAATATCATTTCAACAGCCCAAGAGTATTTCTGCAGACCAAAAGCATTCCGACAGCTCTAGATCAGTGTGACAGCCCAAGAGCTTTTCGACAGTCCGAGAGTATTTCCACTGCCCAAGAGCATGCCTCTCAGGCCATGTCGGCGTGGAGGTGCCGGAATGTTTTAATAGCGAAAAAAGTGTCAACGACAAGATTCCTGGGCCCCGGGGTCCGGACAGGCAGGGCCGACGGTGGCGAGGCCGCGGAAGGGCTTCAGTGAATTCGGTGGCCGTTTCTCGGAAGACCACCTGCCCCGTGTGCCCGGTGGTGCCCGGTGGCGTGGAGTGGCGGGTCGTAGCGCGCACGCCTGTCGAACCAGTTCGGCCCAACGACCAGCCGCGCTGCAGAGCCGCTCGAACCGCACCAAAATAAAGTGGCGATGCTTTCTTGGGGCCGGTAGGTTGATTTCGGAGCGTCGCTTCGTCACCCTGTCTCTGTTTCTCGAGGCGTCTCGTGGCGGTGCGAGAGAGATAGCTCGACGAAGCGTACCGCGTCCCGGTGGGCACGCACTTTCTGGGCGCCAAAACCGTTCTAGAGTCTGAGCGCGGCGGGGCCCCTTGCTCCTCTCGATAAGCCTTGGCGGCGACGTCCCTGCAGGTGGGGGCGGACCCCAGGACCTCGTCAGCTAGCCGGGCCAAGACCCCCGTCGAGGACAAAACACCTCTGTAAAGCGATAGCTGATGTACAAGCGATGATTAGGGGTAAACGAATAAAGGACACGGCCGACCCCGCCGGCTCGGCGCCTGCAGGCAGACGGGGCGGACGGGGTAGACGGTGTCCTTGGAGTCCTCGGGGACGATGGCTGTCGGGGACATAATCGACTCAGCTATATGGATCGGCTCGGCGTTTGCAGGGGTTTTGCGTAACGAACTGCACCGACCAACTTACTGACTGCCAGCCTCTTCCAGGCTTCGTTTCACAGCATCAAAATGTGGTACACAGGCGAGCAGCTTCCAGACGGACTTGAGCGTGACCCCACTGTCTCGCCAGGGCGGCTCCAGCCAGACTCCAGCCGGCCTGTGCGGCAGGTACAAGATGCCCCGATCCATGTTAACACCACACAAGCTTTTATTATTACGACGACTAGGGGGACTACACTGTCCATCGGATTGATGAGGGCGCCACAGAATTTTCCAGGAGAGGGGGAGGGGGCTGTTTTCCCAGACGTTCCCCCAGGACTCCTCCAGGTGACACGACATTTCCACGGAGATGCCCAGGCAAGTTGCCGAGGCGCAGGTATTCTCGAGACCGTTGTCCAGGTCTGGATTGATCCATCCGGTGTGGAGCCGGATCTCCTAAATCAAAACTGCGACATGGCCATGGCCGTACCATGCGGCCGGCTGGACACGGCCGAACCGCAGCGCTTGCACAGCGCCCTCAGCACTGTGGCCCTGTCATCGCACAATGGGGACATGGGGACGGCATAATTTGTCCGGATTGTAAAGTAAAATCAGATTAGCCATCTTGCAGATACGAGAAATTTCGCCTTCCTTTTTGCCATCGGGCATTACCATAATTGAATGCATTTTCGATACGGTTTCCTTTTTCCTTTGCCGGCGGCGGGTCCGGCCGGCCCAGGCTGCACACGACCCAGCGGACGTCCTGCGGAAGAGGCGGCTGGAGTCACTGGAGGGGGCGGCGGCGGGGAGGAGGTCAAGAAGATCGACCTGGTCATCCCGCGTTGTCGTCCGGGCTGGCGGCTCGGCGCTCCGCGCGGACAGATGGCTGCGACGAGTTGGGAAGGATTCGTGAGACAGAGAGACGGACGGGTCTGACGAGCAGTGCGTGGCCGCGCGTCACGGGGCCTCTCACTCGGCACGCTCAGGCACTCGACGACCACGACGCCGTGCCGCCTTCCGGCCGAAGGGCTACGGCGCGCTGCGACGGGCCGGCCAAGCCGGAGCCCGTGCCGAGCTAAGCCGATCCGGACAGCTATAGCCGGAGCAGAAAAGTCGGGTCTCCGGACCACCGGGGAATCACTAATGTACGGCGCGCCACGCCGCCAAGCCACGGGTCTTGTTGAGGCGGACTCCGCGCGCCGCGGCGGTCAAAGCGGGTTGGGCTGCAGCCTGGCTGACCCTGTGCGCTTATCAGCATCCGGCGGGTAATGAGACACTGATCGCTCTCCCAATTAGCGCCAGGTGCAAATGTCTCGCTGGACCTCCCCCTCCGCCCGGTTCGCCGGCACTGACGTCCTCACGTCGTAACCCGCCCCCCTCGCCCCGCGCCGCGCCGCCGGCCCGGCCTGTCCCACCCGGGGCCGCCGAAAACTCAGATACATATTTATTTCTTGGACCATAAAATTTCGGGAACACGGAAAGTGAATTAAAGTGTGGCGGCGTGTGTGTGTGTGCGTGCGCGTAGCCGTGTGGCTCTGTGTGTGTAAGATACGTGCCGCAGGTTACGGGCGCAGACATCGAAGACATCGGGCCAAACAGCGCTCTTGAATGTCACGATGATGTCGGCTGGAGCGGTCGTTGTGTGATGAGGCCCTCTCTCTCCCTCTCTCTTCTTTCCTTATCTCCTCTTCCTCTACTGTCCGCATTCTCATCATGCGCCCCTCCGTGTGTGTGCTCAAGTCCCTCGCAGACCTGCACTATTGCCGCGGAAAAATATTTGGCGTCGCAAACAATGTTTCTGCGAATGGCCGTATGCTGAATGGGGACTGCGGGTCGGGCCGTACTTCCAGGTAGAGACTCGTACCAATTCGTACACGGCTGAGTACTACTCATACACTCGTGCATGTCGTTCTTGTCGAGGGGGCGGGGGACTGTCCACTCTGGCGCCGCGCTGGTCCGGGCGGGGGCGGCCGCTGTGTCTCTGGGAGGGGGCTGGCGGCCCTGGTGGGGTGGTGGGTGCTCGGAGCATGAGTCATGCTTGTTCTGTCCGTATATTTGTTATTATTTTATACACAAGCATTGATTTGTTCCCGGCGGATTGGCTGGCGCGGTGCTCGGCCCAGCATGCCATACCGGGGACTTCCTGTCGCCGTGGTGCTGCCTGGCTGGCTGCCTGCCTGCCTGGCAGCGCTTTCGGACGGCCCGTTACCTGCCTCCGGCTGCCCTGGGCTGCCCGACACACGCGCGTAGGAGTTACGGGCAATTATGTGGCTGCCGGTGTCACGCTTTTTCGAGGAATCACGGCCTCATTCGGATTCGAGGCGCCGCCTTCGCCCTGTGACACGTTACGGCGTGGCGCCCTCGCACGCTCATTCCAGACGTCTTAGCGCGCTCTCTCTCTCACTTGTGGGGGCCTGTCGTAGCGAGAGAGACGGAGGAACCGCTCTGCAGGGGTACCTTTTGGTTCTCCCTGCTACTCTTTACGACATGGGAAATCACGATTCCGTCAAACTAACCCATTCACGTACTCATGCACCGCCAGGGCCACGGCGACGGGGACGCCCGATTCGGTGACTTGGTTTGCTTGGCAGAGTCCGGCCCGAATCTCTGCGTCGATGGCGCTCCGATGGCAACCACAGCTGTCCCCCCAACAACAGGCCAGGCCCCGCCTCCCCACTAAAACTAAACGATTGTCATTAGAAACCAATTCAGCTTGTAATATCTCATGCGACCCGGCCGGTCCGTGCCGGTCCGCGGCCAAGACTCGTTCGCAGAGTCGTAGCGTTGTCGAGGACAATGCTGCGGGCTGGGCCGTGCTGTGCAGCGCTGTGCAGCGGCGCTGGCGGGGCCGAGGCATGGCGGCCGGGCGGGGTGGGCTGCGCAGCGCTGCGCCGAGAAGCCCCTCAAGGGCTGTGGTCTCGTCATTCGGCCTGCTCGTGTCAACAAATGCCCTGAGCAGCTCCGCGCTTGGCCAGCCCGGCCCAGGGCCTGCCCCGTGTTGGCCCCACGGCGGCCCCACCTAAAACCTGGGGCCGGCCCTGCCGCTGCAGTGGGCCGGCCGTTGGACCTGGCCGCGGACTTGCTTGTTGTGTGCTGGCCATGCCAGGCCTGCCGGGTTCGACGCGCTGCGCTATTCAGGAAGTGGTGACTACATTTGTCTGACCGCCACGAAAGCGTTTCCCTTATCCCCCAAAGGGGCCATGAAACGGGCGAAGTCCACGCGGCCATGACCAGCTGCCATCACTTTCTAGTGACGGTGGCCCATGGCGGTGGCCTATGCCCTCATGCGCAGCCTTAATAAAAATGTCCTCGTGAGAGAACCGCACTCGCCATGGGCCAGCTCACACACTTTGCTGCCTCCCCACTTCTGCCCTCGAGACGACCCGGCCTGCTTATCATGCGCCGATTGAAAATGAGAGTCAAATCGAATTCAATATTCTGTTTACCACGCCGTGGGACATGGCCAGGAAGTTCTCTTTGTCTTATTGCCTTTCGCTCCTGTCTCTCTTTCTGTTTGTTCTTTTTTTCAGCGAAGAAGTGATAAGATATGGCTGAATTCATGCTCGTTGACAGGCGACCGGGCCACCCGGGCCGCCCTTGAGGCGGGATTGAAATGCAAAGTGGGCCCGAATCAATGACGGACTATTATTTGGGGGGAATCAAAGGTCAAATGACGAACGGCGCCGTTTATAGATATATCTCATCACTCATAATGCGTTTATTCTATGTACGTTCATCTTTGACACATAAGTACATATACTTACATAAAGGTGATCGGGTGTACCGAAGAATAATAAAAACAGACCAACAAAGAGGGAAACAACGTGTCACCCGTTCAAACAAGGCAGATCATTCGTGTGAAACAAAAGACTAATCACAACAAAGTGTGTTCGAGATATACAACACGTACATTCAAATATGTGAAATACAAAACATAATTTATATATAAATGTTGTACTCTCAACAACCACAAATAAATATATTTAAGCAACAAAGATATACAAATGAGAGCAGAGAGGCATTCATAATTGTATAGATTACAATGATACTTACAAAACAGTTTTGCTTATTTGCACGTCTACATGTAATGTACAGTTCATTTTCATAGATAAACTTGGAACATAATAATTTAATCAGTGAACCTTTGGAAATTTGCATAAATTGATAATTTCTGACCGATCCGAAATGCTTACATTCTGTAAAAAGATTAAATTTCGTTTACAAAACAATTATTGTCCTCCACGTATCCTAGAAATGCTTTGGCGTTCGCTTTTGAATTAGTCCCTAGACCGCCACCACGCCATTCTGACGTGCAGTGCGGCGGCTCACATTGCAATACTTTTCCAGAACATAGGTTTTCGTAATCATGACTTAATTGCGAAACACAAATTATTTAACATAATTTATCCCCTTATCCCCCCCCCTTCCAGTGTGCAAAAACCAGTTGAAAGAGTCTCTCTTCATCTCACGTGGGCTCTCACACGAAGTGTCCGCCTGCTGGCAACACAGAGGTCCCCGCTCTGTTCCTGTCCAAGAGTCCTCCCGCCACCCAACTCACATAATAAATACTCTAACGCGCGGCGCGCGCTTTTATAATCGGTAACTAGATGGTTTCGCCCTTCGCCCCCGCTCGGGGAAAGAGCATACAGTTTTCACAGCACGTTTGCCTGTTGCGACAGGCGCCTGGCGGACAGAGCCACCGGGTGGATGGGCAGGGCCAAGCCTTGCGAGGCCCTGGGTCAGGCCTTACTCAGCGGCACTGGCGACGACGCCGCCAGCTTGGCGTGCATCGTGTCCGACGACCCCGACGACGCCGAGGACGACGACGACGCCCCGGGGTTGACCGAGGAGGCCATGCCGTTGAGAGGGTGTCCGTCGGCGCCCGAGACGGCGGCAGCCACTGCGGCCATGCCGGCTTTGGACAGCACGGAGGACAGCGCCGGGTTCATGTTGATGCCTGGTGGCGGCGGCGCGCCGTTGGCGGGCACTCCCGCCGCGCCGAACGTCCGCGAGTACGACTCAAGCAGCGCCGCGCTGCTAGGGTGCCCCGCCGCCGAGCCGTAGAAGGACCGGTAGAACTCCTGCTGCGCCGCCCGCGCCGCGAAGCTGTTGGCGTGCATGGCCGCCGCGGCGGGGTGGAGGTGCGGGTGGGGCAGGCCGACGGGGCCCACCCCCCTGGACGCCAGCGGGGAGATGAGCTTCCCCGGGCTCGGGTAGAAGCCGGGTGGGTGTCCGGGCGGCGGCCCGTGGGGCAGCGCGTGGTGCGCGTCGGTGTCCTTGGAGGCCATGTCCGCCAGCGACCAGATCCGCGGCTTGCCGGGCGTGGAGGCGCCCGGCGTGGTGGTGCTGGTCGGCGGGGTGGTGGGCGGCGGCAGGCGGCCCGGCGGGAAGGGCAGCCCGTGGTACGCCGGGTGCAGCGGGTGCGGGAAGGGCGGCCTGTCGCGCTCCACCACCAGCTCGGGCGAGTCCGGCCCCGAGTCCGCCCGCGACTCGGACCACTCCGAGCCCGTGTCGCCGGCCGGCCGCGTGTTGGTGGGCCGGTCGCCGTCCTCGCTGCTGGCCGTGCCCGAGTCTTTGGAATCTGCAAGAGAGAGTGCCGGATTAGGAGAGGTCCCGAAAGGGGCGGCCGAGAGGCCGAAAGGCCGAGAGGGGCGTTATGAATGGCCCGGGACATGACGGCGAATATGACGGCGGATGTCACGGCCCGCGTCGCCCGCCTCGCTCCCCCTGGACGCCGAGGCGCGGCACGGCGTCGTGACGTCGTTATTGGCTGCCACGTCCAATATCGCCGCGCCGCCGCGCCGCCCCGCCCGGCCAGTCAATAAGGAGACACGCAGCGGAAAGATCCGCGGCTTGTTCCGCAGCGCAACGCCACGCCGCGGTGCCGCCTGGGGCCTCGGCGGGGGCCGTCCGCAAATGACGGCCACTTTGGGAGGGCACTTCACGACTTGTCTCAAGCAAAATAAATAGGAAATCTGAACTGTGAGTGACCTCTGACAGTGCTTACCTAGGTTATCCTTGTTGGCCTTCTCGTCCCGGTCGTCGTCGTCGTCGTTGTTGTTGTCGTCGTCGTCCTCCACCCGGTTCCGCGGCTCCCACGTCATCTTGTTCTCCTTCTTGAGGCGCCGCCGCGCGTTGGCGAACCACGTCGACACCTGCGTCAGCGTCATCTTGGTGATGATGGCCAGCATGATCTTCTCGCCCTTGGTCGGGTACGGGTTCTTCTTGTGCTCGCTGAGCCACGCCTTGAGGGTGGACGTCGTCTCCCGGGTCGCGTTCTTCCGCCGCGCGCCGTTGAGGTCCATGCCGTACCTGCAACAAACAAACCGGGACATGAGCACAGGCGTATCGGGACGTTTCTGGTTCCTGTTTCCAGCTGCAATCAGACGGTGGGAGCCTGCCGGGGGGGGGGGGGGGGGGACAAAACGTTGCGGGAGGCGCAGGCGGCGGCCGCTCCCACAGGAGCAATGCGTGCCTCGGCCTGCCCCGCCGCGCCCAGACCCGTCTCGATGAGGTTCTCTATGAATGGCAGAAACAAAGGCGAGCTGCTTGAAACAAAAGCAGCCGGTACTTTGTACTCGAACTGGTCCGAGGCACCCCAGGGGCACCCCAGGGCCGGGCAGGCAGGGTCAGCGCAGCGGCGAGGCCACCGCGGAGGCCACCGCGGAGGCCACCGAGGAGGTGGACGGGGTGGAAACGGCCCCATTGTACCGCAGGACAGCTCTGCGCACTGCGCGGTGTCGATTCTACATTTTAATTACTAAAGCAAAGCCACAGCGGAAAAGGCTTTGCTTTGCATTCAACTTTGCTCGAAAAATTAATTATGCATCAGGAGCCGTCGCGAGGGTTGGGTAGCGCGGGAGGCCCCCCGCCCGCCGCGCCGCGCCACGCCACGGGGGGAAAAACGAAACGTTTGGCTTTTATTCATTCGTCGAACAAGTGACGCTGTCACACCGGCCGGGGCGGCCACCAGAGTTCTGCAATGGGCGGGCGGTCTCTACCCGCCGCCTCAGACGTGCGAGAGAGACAGACAACGAGCGAGGGAGACGAGGCGGTAGTGGCGTGGCCGACGCTACAACTGCAACTGCCGAACTCTTCCGATTTGGCGGGTAGGCCTCTACCCACGGCTCGGCTCTGCTCGCTCCACTCGGCCCGACCTGCCACCCGAGCGCCCGGTAGCGTGCCGTGTGCGTGGCGTAGCCGGCGGGAGCAGGCGTGGCGTGGCCAGGCGAGCGCTCGTAGGCAGATTTGGTGGGTACCCGGTCTACCCGCTCAGTAGTCTGGTCGGGCGGCCACCCTACCCGTGGCCAGGCGCTGGGTAGGGTCGGGCGCCGGACCAGGAGTGGTGCCTGAGCCAACGGGTAGAGGCCGCCCGCCCAATGCAGAACTCTGGCGGCCACGCACTCCACGGACATGCACGCCCCTTGCGCCGTCTTTGTGTCGGCAGGTCAGCAGATAGCGTATCGGCGGCCCGGCAGGACAGGACAGCCCCGCTGACAGCGAAGCAGCGAGGTTCGAGGGGTGGCAAGGCAAAGCGACATCCCTGTTCGTGTGTCCGTGGCAGCGGTAGCAGTCAGGTGTAAACGCCCATTTTAACGGGAGCTTCTCTCCGGCCGCCTTTGCGTGGCGGAGACGAAGCGACAGCTAGGCGTTTTGTGTGACTGTGTGTGTGCGCGCCGTCACAGGGACGAGTCGAGGGTCGCTTCACGGTGTGCTTGCTGCGCAAGTCCCAGTCACACACACACGCACACAGAGGAAAGCTCTCTCGCGGGAGAGGAGGGAGCAGCCAGTAAGAGATTCGCCGTCGGTACTTGTGTCGAGATAACGGGTTGCACAGCAATGTCACACATGAGCCACACACACACAGTGGAGGGCCGTGACGGCAGCCAATCAGAGCGCGCCGCTCGCAGCGCCACCTAGCGGGACTACTTCTATTCGCCAGCCTCCGAATTACACGCCCTGCCAGGAGGAGGAGGAGGAGGAGGGAAATCTGGAAGAACCGGGAAAGAAAAAAGAGCTCGCTTTTTGAGCGGTGCGAGAGAGAGAGAGAGAGAGAGAGAGAGAGAGAGAGAGAGAGAGAGAGAGAGAGAGAGAGAGAGAGAGAGAGAGACAGAGAAGAGGCTCGCCGCTGGGGTGGGGCTGCCCTGCTACTTGTTAGGAAGCGGCACGGCAAAGCAAACACGGCCAAGAAGGAGAAGAAGAAGACGAAGAGGAAAAATAAAAAAAGGGGGATGAATCGTCTCGAAACGATTGGACGGGGAAAAAAGCAAAAGAGGGAAATGAACTGGAGAGATAAGGAGGCCGGAATTATGCTATAACTTCTGCTTCGGCTGCTGCGGCACTGCGAGGCTGCGGGGCGCGGCCGCGTGTTGCGGATTCAGGGAGGGCGGCGTTAAAAACAATATCCGGGAGATTGGCTGTGCCGGGCCGGGTGGGGAATAGGCGTCTCATTCAGCGGGCACGGCGGTTCTGGTTAACGGCGAACAGGTGTCTGGCGGCCGATTAGGTCTTAGGTGCAACATTTTCACCGAGGTGGGGGTGTGACCGCCATCGCCGTGCCGACGCCGCCATGATGGCCGTTTATCTTCGGAACGGGGGTAAACAGGCGGCGTGTGTGATTGCGAAGCCCGCCCCGCCCCGCCCGACTTCCGGATCCTCATTTGAAAGCCACGCGTCGTCGCCGAGAGCACCCAGCCCTCGCGCGTGCTGGGCCGAGCCGGGCCCCGTCGGGCCCCGTCGGGCCGGGCTGATTTGAAAAACAAATGTCGGCCTAAGGGTTCCGTTACCGCACCTCTTGACAGTATATTGGCGCCCCCGCCTCGCGTGTTTACACTGGCTTTCATTAGAGCGCCGGATGAAGCTCTCTCTCTCGCTCTCTCGTGCACGTACACACACACACACACACACGCGCTCACACACACACACTTTGCAGCGGTGGAACAAAACGGCAAGCTGTCCGTCAGGCCGGCACTTACAAGGAACAGGGCATGCCGTATGAAAAATTGCTGGGCACTGTTGGCTGTCCCTTTTTGCCCGCGACCGTTGCCTCCCTCGTGCTCGCCTATGATTGGCCGGAGCTTCTCGCTCCGCTCCGCGCTCTGCCGCGCGCTGTGAGCCGCGCGCGCTGCGATCTGATGAGGGTCCTGAATAAAGGACGCGCTCGAGGAGGAGGGAGGGGGATGGGTAGCAAGTCAACCGTGCGGGGGATTAAAAAATCAGCGGAAGACCATGTGCCCCGAGTGATAAGGGAGGCGAGGCGGAGGCGAGGCTCCGGGGCGCAACCGCGGAATCCCAAGTGGCTCACACACACACACACGTTCCAATGAAGACACACTCACACAGAGGGGCGCACTTGTCGATCACACGCGGAAGAAGAGGGTGCGGGCGACGCTAGCGACTTAAAAACAAGGCCCGGGGGTTGGGGGCTGGGACGGGCTGCTGGGACGCGGTCGGGCGGCAAGTCGCCAAAAAATATATATTTAAAGGGCGAGGGGTGGCGGCCCGGCCCGCTATCTGGTGTCCTCGGGATGGCTTATTCAAATTTCCCGGGCGGTGGCGTGCCGGGGCGTGCCCGGGCGTGCCCTCACGCCGCCCTGATAGATTCCAGCGGATTTGTGGATTTCGCTTTATTAGTTTGTGCCGCCCCAGCCACGGCCCCAGTTCCAGCCTTGGTTTCAGCCTCGGTTCCAGGCCCGGCCGGCGTGTTCCAGGAAGGTGATAAAGCCCGCCAAATCATCTCAAGTTGCGCGACAGCCTCTTCATCTGGCGTAGCCTGGCGGCGACGCGACGCGAGGGGGGCCCTCCATCATCAAACGCAAAGTGTGACAATATAACGCCCGAGATTGGCTCCGCTCGCAGAGCGAAAAGAGAGCAAAAAGTTGTTGTTTAAGTTGCGGTGCGCGGCCTGCGCGCTGGAACGGAGGGGAGGGGGAAGGAGAGGGGAGTTGAGATCTCTTCCACCTGGCGCTTGTGTGTGCAGGAGCACTGCCGGAGCACTGCCGGGGTGGGGGCCGTAATCAACTCAGGCAGGAAGGGCTGAGGGGGAGAAAAAACGTGCAGCGGCCGCAGCCAGGCTCATTCCGCGCGGCGCTCTCTCCGTCTCTCTCGCACTCATGGGGCGTCCCGTAGCGGTGCGAGCGAGACTGCCGACACGCCGCTCGGAATGGCAGGCGGCGCTCGGATCTGCGACGCTCTGCGACGCTCTGCGCGGTGAGGCTAAATGCTGGGGGCTTGTCGCTTGATGCCGTCCGAGAGTACCGGGCAGCGCCAGGCAGGGCCAGGGGCGGCATGACTGTTATGCCCGTTCAAACTCCGGTGCAGCACGGCCAGGCCTCCGCAAGCCAGACAGGATTCGCTGCCATAAACCAGCAGACAATGAAGCTGGGGATCGGCGACACGCCGAACGGACGTCGCAGTGTGTGTGCGAGTGTGTGTGTGTAGCCGGTTTAAAAGTCACTTACGCCCTACTACCAGAGGCTTTATCGCAAGGGCTGCTGATAGCAGGGATGATGACCAGGGTATTAACGGCGCTGTGGCGCTAGTTGCGCTGCCGGGGCGTAGGGTGGGACGGTGCAGGTGCGGCGATACCCCTGGATAGCGACATCTGCCGCGATGTGTGGCGATCCGCCGCGCCGCCATCACGGTCCTTTTCGTGATCGGCGTGCCGAGCCGTGTCGAGCAAAGCGAGCCGCGCACAGCACTTTGCGGCCTGTCGTACCGACGGCGCCAGGTCAGGCCGGTCAGGCCGACGAGGTGGTTGTCCGGAGTAGTGACCTGGCCGGCGTGGCGTGTCACGGCGGTGTCACGTCACGTGGTGCACGCGTGACACGGGGCGTGGTGTTAAGTCGCATGTAGGGTACACGTCGCGGCGGTGCGCCAATCATTTCCATACGACAATGTATACGTTGCGCCGGGCTGCGCGCTCGCGGTGGCGGCGTGTCACACGTCACACGAAGAGATGCTGAAGGCGAGGGGTCTACCTGAGCCGTAACAGCCCTTGCCGCCAGGCCGAGGGCCCGGCCGAGGGTGTGGTGGCCCACCCGGCCGGTCGCCAGCCCTGCCAGCCCCGCCAGCCCGGCACACCGGCCAGGGCGTAATGAGGCGTGATCTCGTCGGCCCGTTGAAACCCGAGACGGACATCTCGAATTTTCTGGAGCATCGGTCATCGCCTATTTGTGAGGGTACCGGGCCGCCGGCATGCCTGCCCGGCCGCCGCGCTCGCTGGAGGCGCTGGAGGTGGCCGTCCTCGTCGGCCGCCGCCACCATGATGGATGGAGAGTCCTCTCATTGACACCTCAAGAAGGCCTCGGCGT